ACTGCCACTGGTTTTCAGAATACACACGCACCGCTGGAGTCGTCACCCTGGGACCATGCAGAGGGCACACCAGTGACCATCGGGCTCTGCTGGTCTTTCCGCCCACCCCAGCCCGCGTCACCCCCCTTTCCCAGCCGGCCATACCTTAGCGTTGAGTTTCCTGGGCACTTGGGACCTGTTCTCCTTCTGCACCTCAGTTGGCACCTTGTCTGCAGTGGGCACCGGAGACCACAGGGGCCGGAGGGGAGAGGAGAGCAACCGCCAGCCAGCCCCGAGCTACCGTCCCAGGAGCTGGGGGCGGGCCTACTCACAGCTGGAGCCCACGGGCCAGGCCGATGGCCAGCGCACTGATCAGGGTTTCCTGCCACACCTGCAGTCCGCCTGGCTTCTCTGGGACTCAGGCTGGGAAGCTCTGCTCTAGGCAAGAAGAAATCTTAGAATACGTGAAGGCAGGGTGAGAAAGAGCAAGGGAGGCAGTGGGTGAATTAGAACAATCACTCGCCCTGGCTGCACAGTCAAAACCACTGCGTTTGCCCTAAAATCACATTGGTAGCTGGGGCCCCACTCCCAGAGAGGCTGGGTTCATGCGCTGTGGGCGAGGCGCAGGCGTCAGTCAATATTTGAAAGTTCTCCAGGTGATTTCAAGATACAGCTGGTGATGAGAATCACTGTTAACATGCCCCAGGGCGGCATGTCAGTGGGGAGTCTGCAGTGAGAAACTGGAGGGCCTGCCTCTTTACTGAGGCGTTGAAGAGGGGGTGCTGGTGTAGACCCCTGTTTCTTAGAGTGTCGTCCTGGAAGCTTCTCCCCCATGCAGATCCTGGGCCTGTAGGTAATTAGGATTTCTAGGGCTGGGACTCGGTGATCTGCGTTTTAAATACGCTCTCTCCAGGTGGTTCTCACAACACTAACATTTGAGAAGTGAGAGGTATTTTGGAGGTAGGACCTACAGGAGTCAATCATTACCTACAGGTATTAATATAAAAATGAAAAAACGACTTTAAGGATTTACCAGAGTGAACAGCCCCAAAGAAATGCGTGCATACATTCACCAAAAGGGACGCCCTGGGATGATCCTGGGTAAAACCAGTAAAAACACGCCGGCCGCCTTCAGAGAATTTATTCTCCTTGCTGTTTGCCAGTAAGCCTCGGGTTTGAGCTGGTTTGGGTCTGGGCAATCTATCACGAGTTCAGCTCCGACATACGTGGGAAGCTGCTGATGGGGGAGATTGTTTAATAGCCTTTAGGGTGGAGAAGCAATAGGTCAGAGAAAAAGCGTGCGCACTCCTCTCAGCCTGGATGACCACGTACCCTTTCCTGTCCTTAGAGACTTCTGCGGGCCTCCCTTTGGGTTTCCAAGCTCAGTTCTATCCAGTAATTACTGTAGTGTTTGCAACAGTCGCACCTGGCAACCCAGGGACATTTTGCAAATAACAATTCATCTCACTCTTGAATTTGCATATAAATATATAGGCCTAGATGTAACACGTGAAAGGTGGGACTAAATTATAATCCTTTACATTGGCAAATAGGTGGACATGGGACACTGGAAGTGAGTGGTTTCATTTTTTTATAAAAAAAATGTTTAATAAGATTTAATTAATTTTCCCAAATTAAGTAAACATTTTGGCTTTAATGAATAATCTCTTTGTTTTTGTCCCTCAATTTTCGAAGCAATTTTGAACAGATAAAGAGAAAAATCATTTTTGGAAATGTGAGACCATTCTGATTTTTTATTTTCTAACTCCTGATTTACATTTTTAGATTCAATTTTATTGCATTTTTGAATGTTTGGAAACAGCTACACATCATTTTTTAATCCTTTGAATCACTGAAATGAATATGAGTCAAGATCATATAATGGTGACAGAGGAGAAGAAAAACTGAAAAGGAGAAATAGAAAACTCCAAATAAGAAGGCTGCTTAACTTTTTAAAAACGAGGAACAATGAAAATTAAGATTAAATTGAACATCATCCTTGTAAAATTTAGAAATAAGCATTATAAATTATTTATTAATGAAGATTTAATTTCTCGTGAAAATGAATAATTATTCGTATCGAATGCACACCTTGAACTTCAGGTCAGATTAAATGCTTGCAACTTCCTATTGCTTCCTAAATGATCCTTTAGTGAGTAATGAAAACATTGAGGTGGAAAAGAGGATTATTCATGTCAAAGACATCATTCAGAGGTGACAAGTGTAGCTCTGGGCTGCACCTCGCCAGATAAAGAAAATTATAGCCATGAAACCAGCAAATGAATCGGAAAGAACAAAACCTCTGGATGTTACTGTGTTTGTTGGATAATGATACGGAAAAAGAGACTAACCCTTTTGATAGCATGAGATTATTTCCAGCAAAACACAAATGTGTTTCAAATTAATGGTGTAGACGAAAAAGGGGCTACGTGATAACCTGGCAAGCTGTGGGGAGGAGGGAGGAGTGTAATGCAGCTCTGACAAGCTCAGTGACCAGAATTTACCACACAAGCTGCAAAACGGCCATTTTCCAGAGCATTTTCTCAATCTGTTGAGCTCTTGCTTCTGGGCATGTTCTCAAAATGTGGCCTGGACTCTTATAAAACGTTCTCTAGGTTTGGACGATCTTTCGTCGACGGTGGTGATGGTTTTCCATTGGTTAATCATGACATAAATTACAGTATTGTGCCTGGCCGCAGTGGCTCAGAGGTTGAGAGTCAACCTATGCAACAGGAGGTCATGGTTCCATTCCTGGTCAGGGCACATGCCCCGGTTGGGGGCTCAATCCCCAGTAGGGAGCATTCAGGAGGCAGCCAATCAATGATTCTCATCATTGATGTTTCTATCTCTCTCCCTCTCCCTTCCTCTCTGAAATCAATAAAAATATACTTTACAGAAAATTACAGCATTGCATTTAACACCAAGTCTTTCACACGAAGTGTATTAAGCTTGTCTTTTTATTCTGATGTTTTAACACCTGGGGCCTTACTGACCCTGGAGAGGTCCTATCCACCCAAACACAAAAATAGTCCATTAGAATATCAGAAAGGGGCCAATTAAAGGTGAAAACTCAACAGGGAGATTATGCCAAGCTGAACAACTCTCACTTGGCTGATTTCTGTGAGCCCAGGGGTCATGAGCAAAACCTCCTGGGCTCCAAAAGTCATTTTCCAAAAGACCTACATGCATGGAAATCTTTGGTGGAAACAGAAGCAAAGAACCATAGGACTTTCAGTAAATTTCCCTGGCATTTGGTACACGTACTAGATCTGAGCGTGGTATTCTGATGCCCACAGTGTAGGTGAACGACAGAGCAGAGGTCTGCACCTTGGATGACGACATTCTAAGCAGAAGCTCGTAGCCCGGGTAACAAGACAGGGCAACATTTACAGGTCGGATAGCTGTAGGTAAGTCCACCAGAAGTCTGAGAGGTTAGGTTCTCTATCCTTCCCTGAGTCTGTGTAACAGGCCTGTGGAGTGCGGTGCAGGGCAGCCCAAGAGTAGAAGCTCATTAAATAGCAGCTGAAACATGGAAAACACACAGTTGTTTGTCTGGCTATGACTCAAAGTGTCCACTAGAGGGCACAAAACTTTAAGATGGGTGTGTTTTTTTACAGGTCAAAAAACTGGATAGCCCTAACTGGTTTGGCTCAGTGGATAGAGCGTCGGCCTACGGACTCAGGGGTCCCAGGTTCGATTCCGGTCAAGGGCACGTACCTTGGTTGTGGGCACATACCCAGTAGGGAGTGTGCAGGAGGCAGCTGATCGATGTTTCTCTCTCATTGATGTTTCTAACTCTCTATCCCTCTCCCTTCCTCTCTGTGAAAAATCAATAAAATATATTTTTAAAAAACTGGATAAATTATAATTATTGGAATAATAAGTAATAAAAGATACCTTTTATTGCACACTTTCTAAGGGCCAGGAACTCCCCCAAACACCTTATAGGCATAACTTTATTTATTTGCTGTATTCTCTTCACCTAGCCACATCATAAGTTATAATTAGGCAAATTGTTAGTTAACTTGTTTTTTTTTTCATTTTTAAATGTGATTAAACCAAAATGTATTTATATTTGACCAAGGACTTTCTTAGGAAATTTATTTTCCCAGTCATCTTTTGCTTATGTTGCTAATTAATTGTATTAGTAAGTTAACTTGTTTTTCATTTCTGTCCCACATTGGACTGGAAGTTCCATGAGGATAATGTGTGTTTAATTTATTGTTCTGTCCTGATTAGTGAGTCTGGATCATTGTCAAAACTAAAATCAGTAAGATTTTAGAAGAAGTTGTACTTTTATTTAGTTGTTGATTATGCTGATTAAAGGTATTGGTAATTAATTAGACAAATTTGTGAATTTACATTCAAAATATGCTCATATAGTGCTGACCTCATTCCAAGCACAGTTCTAAGTTGCTGTTATTAGCTCCATTTAACAGATGTGGAAACTGAGGCACAGAGCTGCGTGTGTGTGTGTGTGTGTGTGTGTGTGTGGTGTGGTTTTTTGTTTGTTTGTTTGTTTTTAATTAATCCTCACCCAAGGATATTTTTCCATTGATTTTTTTGTTTTTTGTTTTTTAGAGAGAGTGGAAGAGTGAGATAGAGACATGGAGAGAGAAACATTGATGTGAGAAAGACACATCGATTGGTTGCCTATCGCACACGCCCTGACCGGGGTGGGAGATGGAGCCTGCAATCGAGGTTTGAGCCTGTGACTGGAATTGAACCTGGGACCCTTCAGTCTGTGGGCCGGTGCTCTACCCACTGAGCCAAACAGGCCAGGGCCAGAGCTGCTTCTTATGTCAGGAAACATGCCCAAGATTTCACAACCAGTAAATGGCATAGCCAGGATTCAAACTCAGGTATCCTGGCTGCAGACTCCAGACACATAATCACTGCTCTGCCTCTAAGATTCACTTAATGACTTGATACAATTATTACATAAAGCAGTAATTGCATAGGTAATAATTCTTCTGAGCCGCAGCAAACAAATTTAGGGAAACTTTTATGCATTTTTCACAATGGACTTTTCATGCATTTGCAATAGTGGTGTTGGGAAAAGAAGCATATCAAGGTCAGAAGGTATCCTTGCTTCTCAAAACCTCGTTTCCACATGGTGAAAAATTATAAACTATTATCTCCTTTCCAAAAACCAAACACCTGAACCAACTAACATGCAAAGGCCAGAGTTCTTGGCACATCCACAGAAAAGCACTCCACATAAGACGCAGAAAGCTTTTAATATCATCAAGGAAGTTTTGCAATTCAAACACCACACAAAACCGCATGACTCGGCAATTCTACCTCTAGGTAGAGCACCCAAGACAACTGAAGACAGGTATTCAAACAAAATACTCCGGGCAGCACTAGCCACAATGATGCTATTCACAGCAGCCAGGATGTCCGTCAGCAGATGAATGGATAAACAAAAGGTATTGCCCTGCAGTGGAATATTGTTCACTGTCCAAGGGCATGAAGTGCTGATCTGTGCTACAACCGAGATGAACTTTGAAAACACGAGGCAGAGTGAAAGGAGTCAGGCGGGAAATGTCACATTTTGTCTGGTTCTGTTTATCCAAAGTCTCAGAAGAGGCAAATCCATAGAAACAGAAAGCAGATTAGTGATTGGGAGGTGCTGGAAGCAGAGGGGACGAGGGGCAGGTAAAGATCGGGGTAACTTGAGCTTTCCCTGGAGTCTCCAGTGGGACGAGCTTGATATGGAAGTCCTCCACCAGGACAGGGCTCAACCTGTCCCACCCCCACTGTACACCTCGCTCTCCTCGCCTTCGGTTCTCAGACCGTCTCCCTCACAGCTTCCTTCTCCCAGCCTCTGAGTCCCCCTCCCGATGGCCGGCCTTAGGCCACAGGGCCGCCAGTCGGAGTGATTCTCTCCGGAGGAGTGCACTGGGGATAAGGGGCACTCAAGTCTCATACAACAGTGGATCTTTTTTTTTCCCATGTATTTTTTATTGATTTCAGACAGGAAGGGAAAGGAGAGAGAGAGAGAGAGAGAGAGAGAGAGAGAGAGAGAGAGATCAATGATGAGAATCATTGACTGGCTGCTTCCTGCACGCCCCCCACTGGGAATCAAGCCTGCAACCTGGGCATGTGCCCTGATGGGGAATCAAACCGTGGCCTCCTGGGTCCTAGGTCGATGCTCAGCCACTGCAATAGCTGGGTCTTTTGGGCAGGAGCAAACCTCTGGGCAGGAGTGATCCTGTGTCTAATTTCCTTTACTCTCCAGGGAGAGCTGGAGGGCCTGTGAGCAGACCTGTTAGATGAAGCACAGGCTGCTCTCTCAGAAGATAGACAGGGACTCCACTGTCCAAATGGAGCAAGAGTAAGTCAAAGCTGGGGCGAGCGACAGAATGTCTGAGGTCCAGAGAGCACACAGAGGGAGAGGGAGCGCCTGGCGGGGGTAAGACAAACAACGCAGGGCTTGGCTGGGGAATGCTGAGACCGCAGAGGCTGCATCCAATGTATAAGGTGGGCTGGCTGGAGGCCTGGGCTCCCCTGGGCTCTGTCCCCAAGAGGGAGGACGGAGTGGGGTTGGGCTTGCTCCTGAGACGTGTGCAGGGCTGAGGGGACCCCTTGGCGACTGGTTTCTCTGGGCCTTGGCTGCAGCAGGCACCTTCCCGGGGCCCCAGCTGTGCGAGGCTGCACAGGGTGTTCCTTTTCCAACTGCAGACCAACCCACCGGACAGGTTTGCTGATGAGCGAGCGCCCAGGTCCCAGGCCAAGAGGTGTGAGCGGCAGGCACTCGGCATTCCAGCCTCGGCTGCAGCTCTGCCAGCAGCTGGGAGACCTCGCCGTGGCTCTCGGAAGTGCAGTCCCAACTTCAGGACCAAGCAGGGAAGGACCTGGAGTACGAAGCCCCTTGGAGCCCCAGAAGGACTCTGAGCAACGGTGCCTGCCTTTCTCTCTATCCCCCTCCTCCTTCCCTCACCCCTGTAGCCCTCCATCTCTCACCCCATTCATTCCTTCTTCTCCTGCTGCCCCACCGAACTCCCTGTCTTCTCATCCATTAACCCCCCACCCCACTATCTTCTTCCTCCATTCTCTCCTTTCCTCTCTCCATTCTCTTTCCTTCCCTGTTCCCCGATTCCCCCCCCGACTTTTCCTCCC